CGAGCTCGGCCCAGAAGACAACCCTTTTGCTTTCGTTGGCAAGGGGTTTCGAACTTGAGACCTCCAACATGAAAGTCCCAAGCTCAAACCACTGGGCCACCCCGAAGGGTACATGTATAATTTATATATATAGTACTATTAAATAATTTGCAATAAGATTTTCAATTTGTTTTCTTTTGGCATAATACATAAACATAATTCTTAACTTGACGTCAGCTGACAACTATGACCCTTAGCTTTGGGTGTGCACAAGTAGACACTTAAACTTGTATAAAATTGAACAAATATACGCATTCGTCCTACATGGCAATTTTGTGTCCTACGTGACGTCCCACATGTATTATGTCATGTAGAACACGTGTGTCTACTTGTTCAATTTTATACAAGTTTAAGTGTTTACTTGTGCACACTTAAAGTTGGAGGGCATAGTTTTCCGCTGAAGTCAAGTTAAGGGTCATGTTTATGTATTATGCCTTTTCTTTTTAGTTAGTTTGAAAAAGAATATTTCTTTCTTTTTTTTGACAACTCTTTAATTCTAACTTTTCATATGACACGTTTAAGATAAGAAAATTAAAGAACATTTTGATACATTTTACATATTTTTAGTTTAAATCATAAGATTCAATTTTATTTTTTTTGTTTTTTTACTTTCTTAAGCAGTTAAGCTCCATTGCCAAAGTCAAAACTAAATCAACAAAATTGAAATGGAGATTGTATAAGATAATTTCACCTTGTTTATGATATTTATTTCAACATTGTTTTTTTTTTAAAAAAGGAACCTATAATATTATTAACTAAGAGAGATTTTATTGTATTACTCCATCAATTTTAATTTGTTTATTTATTTTCTTTTTTTTAGGTCTATTTCAAGAAAAATATCTATTTCCCTTTTTGGCGACCATGTCATTTTAACTTTCCGTATGACTTGCATGTTAAAAATCACAAAATTAAAAAATATTTTAATACATTATACTTATATTTAATTTAAGACTACTAGATTCAAAAATATTTTTTACTTTCTTAAATTTCATTCCGAAAATAGATACAAATTGAATTAAATATATATGTGTTTTAGTTTCGAGATAATCTGATCTCAATTAAATAGATTCACTCACCTAATTTTATGAAGAGTTCACTTTTGTATCTAACTTAAGCATAATATATACTACTAGTATATTTGCTATTGGTTATTATACCTCACCTTTAAAAAAATATTGAAATAAAGTCCACAATATAATAGCTTGCTCTATAAAGGGACATTCAAAAAGTATGTTTTCCTAAATTCAAGCCAAATTATTCTCATCCACTTGGCAAACTAGTAGTAACAATTGTATAAGGATAAAGTTAAAACAGCTAATTAGCTTGTGAAGAGTGATTAACTACTCATGAAGCATAATGCACAAATTAAATAAATCAAGCAACATATGGATGACTTGACCGACCATGGATTAGCATAAAAAATTTGTTTTAAGAAACTAGGAATGAAATTAGTCGTTTTAAAAAGGATTCAACTAAATTCTCCGAGGTTTATAAGATATGTGGATTGAATCGGTTGAGATACTGAAATATATAAGCAAGAAATCTTTACACGTGATGATTTTACTATTTTTATAGGGACATATTCTCACGATCTGATAGCCGAATATACAGAAATTGATACTTGTAATTTCAATTTTTGATTCGCTTGCCATAAATGTTTGTACTTCTACACTTGTTGAGGATTCTGTAGTGGTAGATCGAGTCTATTGCTCAAAATTTGTATAACCCTAAAATATATATCTTTGTAGATGGTAGGTGAAAGTAAATGGAGTAGCGGTGAACTGTCATTTTAATAATATTCAAGGGTGAATTTAGGAAGATTCAAAGAGTGTCACATGACACTACTTCATCGAAAAAATTTACTAAATAGATATATATACCATTAAGAAGCAGAAGCAAATATAAAGGTATCGTAAATGACACTCCATTAATTGAAGTTGCACGCAACTTGGTTGGTTTTGTGCTAGTGTATCATAGGCATGGTTGTGAGTTCACATGACCTCATTTTGATACATGTTATTTTATACTCATATATTTCAAAAAAAAAAGAAAACTCATTGAGAAAAAACTATAATATTTTTTTATTTTTAAAAAAAAAGGTAAAGTGGTATATGTGAATTTTATTTTATTTATATTTTGTTCTTTTTTATTATGGTATAACATTGTTTATTTATTGTTTCTCATTTTAAAAAAATTGCTTGTGAAATTTTTTGCTTATGCCATTGATGATATTAACACTTTGTTATAGATCTTAATCACTCAGACCTATTAAGTGGTTGTAAGACTAAGAAAAATAAACGCACTTAATGATTAAGATTCAGACTTTTAAACAAATAGACTTAATGATTGATATCTAAATAATTCAGATTAAGACCTTAATCAAGCGCAAACACATGAGGCCCTAAGCTCTTCAAAATTTCTATCAAAGCATCTAAACTTCGAATATTGATCAAAGTCAACTCAAAGGCCAAAATCACCCAAACTTCCAATTTAAGACCTCAAGTCCACGAAAGTCCTCTGAATTCTGCTACTCTTCTAGACCAAATTCCACATTCCGGAGTTTATGGAACTGACGAAACTCCATTCCAAAATGCAAAACTTTGATTGTTACCGAAAACCACTTTTTAACAACTTAAACCTTTAAAAACTCAACACTTTCAAAAATCACAATCTCTTACTCAATGTCACGACCCAAAAATGGACGTGATGACACTCGTCTTAACCCACCAAGACAAGTCAGCCTAAAACTCAACCATTACAATAAAATGCGGAAATTTTTATAATAAACTAAAAAAATACCCCCAAAATTTGGTTGTCACGTGTACAAGCCTCTAAAGTATTACAATTGAATCAAAAGAAAAATACAAGTCTCATATGACATTGTTTCTAGAGTAGAACAGGATGATAAACAAGAGTAAGAAGGTCTGCTGAGTTGACAAACAGCTACCTCACAAATCTCCAAGAAGCCTCGAAAAAGAAGAGAATATATCACAAATGTTCGGGCTAGTAACCTACAAAAAATGTAGTAGCAAGGAGTGAGTATCAAACCACGCGGTACTCAGCAAGTAAGCCTCTAAACACAAGCTAAGGGGATAGAATACGGGTACTCCTTTACACACCAACCGAACCTCCACAACTACAACCTGCATAAAACCAGCCCAACCTAACAGTTCACAATTTACAAAGCACATAGCTCAACAACAACACTCTAACAATTTCATATTCTCAACAACAACACTTTAACAATTGCATATCTTCAACAATATGCTCAATATTCATCAGTCACAAGTTCCACAGAAAGACACTCACAAGATCAGCAACACACAAGATCAAGTTCACCAATAATAAAGATGTGCAATGCAATGTCAAGTATAGTGATTCATGTCTGACCTAACGATATACACATGTTGTCTCTCAGTCCGGGACCCATGGGGGACATATTTGTCCATGCATCCATCGCGGCGCGCGATACGACCTTCGATTATAGTAACCATCGCGGCGCGCGATACGTCCCTCAAAATATAGTATCCATCGCAGCACGCGATTTGTCCCTCGAAATGGTACATCCTCTTTAATTTCTTATTCTTTCTCAATTCACATAACACTTGTCACAACCATGTCTCAGAACAATGCAAATGACATGTTCACATAAATAATATGAGGAGATGACCATTTTCATAACATTGCACAATTCATAACAACACAATCATGATACAACATCAACAATGATTCAACAAGCCTTTCAAACCATTCTCAACACATCACACATAAACAATTAATCACATTGCCTTTTATTACTCCTTTTTCATCATTAGAATTAATCAATGTGGACAATTCAACCCATCACCAAGTCTCATTACCCCCCAAACACATATTACAAGGAAATACACGAATTTCATACACTTAACAAGGGTTTAGAAATCCACTTGCCTCAAATTGATTCACAATTCACTTTGAGACTTGAGCCTTCCCTTTTCGTTGAGTTTCCAAATCAATGTAATTTTAATCCCATGAAATTGTTCCACCTACGCTGTCTAGGAGAATTTTCAAGTTCCAACTCTAATCTCTTTCATCTAAAGGAAGAGAACTCACTGCTCACGCTCTCTTCTGGTCGTTATGATTAACGCCGCACGACTATGCAGTGTCCACAAATATTATAAACCTAGTTTTTTTAACACATGGACCAAGTAATATAAGACCTTAAATAAATAATTAAAATTTCCCCATTAATTGTATAGCTATAATTAACCAATAGTCCAAAATACAAATTTTTTGGGAATAGTCAAATAATTCAAGTACTCCAAATGATCTAACGGGTAATTTACACTCAAATTTCAAAACCAATTTCACAAACTGATCAGAAATGACTCACGATAACTATCAAGAGGGATAAAAAGGTAATTTTACGAAAGCTTTCAAAATTGACCTTTCGTGTCATTACATACACTTTCTCATCTTGCCTTGCCTTTTTTAAGAACGGGTAGATACTATCTCCCCCTCCCCAACTAAAATAGTTACTTCTTATGAAATTCTATTTGGCCAAAAATATATTTTAAATAAATATGTTTTAAAATTTTGATCAAACATAGTATATTTTTTTAAAAAAAAGATCAAACATGCTATTTTCTAACAAATAAAACAACTTTTTTTTTTATAAAGCATATTTATCTAAGTAAAACTAAAAAAAAAGAGAGGAAAAATTCAACTAAAAATGCAGTTATGGATTCAAATTTAAACCTTATGATAATAGTACATTAATTAGTCAATCAAACCGTTGCATACAATTATTAAACAAACGGAATATACCTTTTTGCCCCCTATTCTATATTTTTAAATTTTCTTTCTCTGAAAAAATAATATTTCTTCATTTCATTTCATTATTTTTCAACTCTAAATCTTCCCGCCCACACACTCTCTCTTTCTCATCCTCACAAATCTCACCATTTTCAAAAAATTTCAGTGAATTTTTGTTTGATTTCAATGCATTTCTTCTGTAAATCTCCTTGATTAGCAGAGAAAAAGAACTGTATTTGTTTCAATTTCAGATTCAGAAAAAGAGGAAAAACCCTAGCTAAATTTTGTGCGAGCAAGTGAAAAATATGAATCAGTATCATATATATGAAGCTATTGGCCGTGGAAAACACTCGGTAATGGTTTTTTTTTTCTCTGTTCTTCTTTTGTTTGCGTTTTTAGGTTAAATGTGTTGTTTAAGTTTTTTGGTTTTTTTGCAGACTGTATATAAAGGAAGAAAGAAGAAGACAATCGAGTATTTTGCGATTAAAAGTGTGGATAAATCTCAGAAAAACAAGGTTCTTCATGAAGTAAGGAATCCCTGGAAAAAAAGTTTCTGTCTTTGTTTTGTATTTGAATTTTAATTGTAATTTGAGATTTATTTCGTATAGAATTTGTTAGGGAAGTGGAATTGGATCATTGAAGTTTTGATTTTGATTTCACCTACAACAACATACGTAGTGTAATCTCATAAGTGAGGTCTGAGGAGGGTAGAGTATACACAGACCTCATCCTTACCTTGGGAGGTAGAGAGACTAGACTGTTTTTGATAGACCCTAAGCTGAATTTGCTTGCACCTCGGACACAATAAAATTGCGGAAGTGCCTGATTTATACTCTTGATAACAGTGGTATCTGGGCCACGTATTATAGTACATAGTACTGTCTGTTTAACTATGCTCATTAAGGTTTATGTAGATGAGAAGATTTCACCTAGTGTTGTCTTTGGTGAAATTCTATCCTTAGTTCCCAAGCTGTTACTTGATCTATTTGATTGCTAGGCCACCATATTGGGAGGATGAGAATTTATGATTTTAATTGGGAACCAAGCTGCACAGTTTATTGCCTACCCAGTAGGTCTTTTAGAATTTTGAAAACTTCATAATATTGACCTTTCATTGTAGTCAACTTCTTTTGGAGGAATAGACAAAAAGGATTTAGTAATTATTTGTGAACCATCCTCAGTATGGAATTTAGTAATCGTCTGCTGGAAGAATATACTTATAACACGTTGTGTAAGTTATACATTGACTTGCTGTAAAATTCTATAGGTGCCTGCTTATCAACAGTTGCTCAATAGATCTGCATACTCAATTGTTCTAACATTTTCTGTAGTTCCTGCACATCTTCAAAAGCAGCTGAACTACTTCAGAAGCTAAATGTATATGCTTTTAGTAAGTGTGGTCTTAGAAAACAACTTGCATGATATTTATTGATGTTATGGATTGTTGTGCTTGTGACTATTGTAGTTGTGAGATTATTGGAAATTATACGAGTCATAACACAGTCTTCCTATTCCGTGTCATAAAATTGAAGTCCAGTGAACAAATTGATCAGGAAACCCAACCTTTTTCTTAAAATCTATTTCCTTCAGTTTTCTTTATGCATGTATTTTATTCTTCTATTGGCAACATTTGCTGCAGGTCAGAATTCTTCATTCTCTAGATCATGCAAATGTGTTGAAGTTCTACTCCTGGTAAGAATTATCTTTTTCCTTTCTTGCATATAACTCCTTTCTTTTTCTTCAATTTCGTTTCTGGGGTGAAGGTCTTTTTGGCATTTAATAAGAAGACTTCTCTGACTTATTTTCTTAATCAACTGACCCGTAGGTATGAAACATCTGCACATCTGTGGTTGGTTTTAGAATATTGTGTTGGAGGAAATCTCATGAGCTTGCTTCAGCAGGTAAGCACTAGCAGGTCTGCTGTGTTTTATAAATAAATTTCATCATTCCAGTGGTATAACTGCTTACCAAATTAGGTGTGTTTTGCTAGTGTTTGCATATAGGATGCCTCATGCAGACATTAGATATAAACCTCCAAATTTGTGATAACACCCTAATTCTTCTTGGTCTCCTTTTTAATAGTGGCATGGAATATTGAGGTTTCATGGTAAGTTTGTTGAATGCGCCTATTGGGACTCCCAAACAGGCACTAAGGACATTGGTTTCATGTGCGATTGAACACTTCAATTTAGATGATTGTTTGTAGTTTCACAAATAAATTTTGTCGACACTTTGGGTTAACTTGTTTCTTGTACCAGTAAAGTGAGGTGAAAGAAGTAGGTTTCTTTTTCTGATTTGTATTTTGAGAGTAGTCAAATGACCACAGTTTACTGTAGTTAATAATGTCACATCTGCATCATCTTACCTGTATTTTAGTTTTAACTACACCTGGGAGATTTTAACATCATTTAATCTCTGGGTTGAAGGATGGTAAGCTTCCCGAAGATTCAATTCATGATCTTGCTTGTGGCCTTGTTAGAGCTCTTCTGTAAGTAACTTTAGCCTTCATTGTTCTTTTGTAACACTTGTTGTTTCGGGCATGAATAACCTTTCTGGTGTTCTGTCTACTATACCAGATACTTACATTCAAAGGGAATAATTTACTGTGACTTAAAGCCATCAAACATCCTATTGGATGAAAATGGAATCACGAAGGTATGGTGATCTTTATGTTGAGATTTTTCCACATCATGATGAGTGCTTTTGACCAATTATATGATTTTGAAGTTCAATTTGTTTCCTGGCAGCTGTGTGATTTTGGATTAGCAAGAAAATTGAGTGATTTATCAAAGACACCTTCCTCCCAGGTAGTTCAACTCTCTTTCCCCTCCTTTTCCCCCTAAAATGAACACATGAAAAGTTAAATTGGTGGCATAACTGTTTTGCAGTTCATAAAAGGTAAATGCCTGAATGGTGCACTAGTCAATTCACTTTTTTTAATAATGGTAGTGTGCGGGTTCGTTTGCGCGCACCTCCTCCACCAACATAGGTACCAACTGGGTAACTCTATCCACCACTTCTTAGGAGGATGACAAGAAACCACGAAGTGTTTTTTGTTGTTATTAAGATTTGAACCCTAATTTCCAAGGTTTGCACCCACTTCATTGGTCCACTTTCTTGGGTGACTGACTCTGCACAAGTCAAGTCTGGTCACTTTTGTGTTTGTAGAAGTGGTTTATATTCATCTGTAATTATCTGAGGCTGCACTTTGGAATTAGGAAGCTGAGCCAGAAAACATAAAATGAAGCCAAAAGAAATAGATTTTTATTCTTCTGGTGCAGGAAGTGAGGAAAACTTAAGAGGAACACGGTTTCCGTTGTTTGGACATTAAAAAGAAGCAAAAGAAGCATCTTACAATGAGCTAACTTCTCGACATTTCTGCAGAAATTCTCTAAGTTATTCTTTTTCGGTCTGTCTAGAGAAATTTCAAAGTCAAGAGGACGCACAAGTTTTCTCAAAGATCTTACAATTACTTGACTTCTTCCTTTCTTTTCTTTTACTTTTCAATTCACAAATCAAACATGGAAAACACAGTTCTAAATTTTTGCATGTTTCCTTTAATCAACTACCGAATAGAATATAGATTTTTTAAAGTGATATTTATTGCTTTTGGTTTTGATTTGTGTCCTTTCCCTGCTGTTGTCATTCATATGTGCTATTTTTGTATCATGTATTTTTCAGTTACCACAAATAAAGCGAGGAACCCCATATTACATGGCTCCAGAGCTTTTCCAGGATGGAGGGGTCCATTCCTATGCCTCTGATTTCTGGGCTCTTGGTTGCGTCTTGTTTGAATGCTATGCTGGGATACCTCCTTTTGTTGGCAAGGAATTTACCCAGTTAGTGAGATCAGTCATTTCTGATCCAACTCCAGCACTTCCTGGCACCCCAAGCCGCCCCTTGGTCAATCTGATTAACTCTCTTCTAATAAAAGATCCTTCTGAAAGAATGCAGTGGGCCGAGCTTGCAGGACATGCTTTCTGGAAAACAAGATTTGCTCCAGTGCCTTTACCTCCTCAGCCTGCTTTTGATAATATGATAGAAATGTCTTCTAAACAATGCCTTTCAGAAAGGAACAGTGAAAAGCCTATACAAAACAAGACCCCACAAAAGACTCGTGAAAAAGATTCAAAGGTGTCCCTCAAGCATGATGAAAATTCAAATACTGGATCCAGAGGTTACGTGACACCAATTAAAGGAATATCCAGTGGCCGGAAAGCTCAAATGAAGGGTTCTGGCAGGACAACTGATGACAAGCAGAAAGACACCTCGAGCAATACTAGAGGTGTCAATCTATTACGTCTTTCAAGAATTGCAAAATCTAATTTAATGAGGGAGAATGAGAAGGAGAACTACCGCAGGCCATTGCCTAATAACTCTGAGAATGATGCTGAACTTAAGGTTGAAAATACTGACATGGAACTTGACTTTAATGAGAATAATGAGGATGATACACAAGATGAACCTGATGAAACTGACAGCACTCAGAGTCCTGAGTCAACTACTTCAACTCCAAATCTGACAGAGGGTAATGTGGAAGAGATGGATATTGATAGCAGACATCCAGATACACCAGCGGTGGTTAATACGCCTTGCTCAGATTATTCAAGGACATCTGACCATGAACAGTCTTCTAAATATGAAGTGGCTGCTATGCTACCTAACGATAGCCCTCAGCTAAAGACTCCTGTGATTAAAGAGAATTCTGCGAATGACTCTGATATCTCAAAACCATCTACGAACCTTTCAGATATTCTTTGGCATCCATCTGATCTCTCGGTCAGACCTGTAATGCCTAGCAGAAAATCAGATAAAGGTTCAGATGCAATTCCTTCACTTTCATTCGATGCACCTCAACTGTCTGATTTTGTCAAAATGTCAAAGGAGCAATTAGACTCTTTTAATAGTAGAATCATCAGTATTGTTAGTGGGAATACTCCCTCAGGGGAGAAGCAAAATGTGATCAGATACCTTGAGCTTTTGAGCAGCAATGCTGATGCAGCCAACATCTTGACCAATGGGTCTATTATGTTGGTTCTAGTCAAAATGCTTCGTCACTCCAAGGTTACTCTGTTGCGTGCTCAACTTGCTTCACTTATTGGTTTGTTGATTCGTCACTCCACTTTTATTGGGGATGAGCTGGCAAATTCTGGAATATTAGGTGCACTAACTGATGGTCTGAGAGACAGGCAAGAGAAAGTGAGAAGGTTTTCCATGGCTGCTTTGGGTGAATTACTATTTTATATATCTACTCAAAATGAGCATGCTCGGGATAACAAACCAATGGAATCTCCATCTAAGGACAGCCGACCCTCATCCTGTTGGCAGGTAACTTCGTTGCTGTAATTTCTTACTTGGTGCAGCTTGTCAAGTTAATTACTCCCTCCGTTTTCATTTTTGTCCGATTTTGACTTGGCATAGCATTTAAGAAAATAAAGAAGATTTTTGAATCTTGTGAACTTAAATTAAAGATGTGTAGAATGTACCAAATGTTCTTAAATCTTGTGGTCTTAAACATGTCATATGGAAAGATGAAATTAAAGAGTTGCAAAAGAGAAGGCACATTGTTTTTGAAAAGGACCAAAAAGGAAAGTTGGACAAACAAATTGAAACGGAGGGAGTTATATTTGTTAAAATTCCTCTCCACAATAAATTACTAGGCTATATTGCAATGGGGTTTTAAGTATTAAGTGTTCTATGAGCAATCACTTAAAAGCATAGACACTATCAGAAACACAATTCAAGCACCAATGCAGCTCTTATGAGAAATAATGCAAGTTATCACTAGGATATAAATGGTATACTTATTAATGGGTTAAACACCAGCAACCTTTTAATTAGTGATAATTATACAGTCACGTATACTATCAGACATGTAAGTGTATACAATGATTATCTTGTAGTAAATCATGTCTATAAATCTGCATGTGACAAATTTCTAACATGAAGAATAAGATGGATGGCAAATGACAACTTGGCATAGACTTCACTTTTTCCTGTTAGCTATCTGTCCCACATCACGAAATATTGTAGAATCTATATATACAAGATTCTACAAGTTTTTCTCTGTATTTTACTGGAAGAACTAATAAGCTGGCAATTCCCTTGTAATGCAACACTATATAGCAGTAAAATGAACAAGAGTGTTAAGATATTTCTCTTGGGGTTGTGGGAAAAATAAGATAAAATCATACAAGCATCTATACTATCTTTACATAAAATAAGATAAAATCATACAAGCATCTATACTATCTTTAATTCTTTACATATTGCAAAGTCTCACATTCTGTCTTAACATTCCTTTCTGAAAATGTTAATGTTGTAGGTTACAAATCCAATAATTTCATTGGTTTCATCACTTTTACGAAACGGAGAGGATGATATTACTCAACTTTATGCTCTGAGGACAATTGAAAATATCTCCAGTCAAGGAGGGTACTGGTCTGCTCGTTTCACCAGCCAAGATGTCATTACTAACCTCTGCTACATATTTAGGGCTCCTGGAAAGCAGGAGAGCATGAGGCTGACAGCAGGGTCTTGCTTGGCTCGTCTTGTTCGTTTTAGCCCTTCTAGTATTCAACGAGTCATGGAAAAACTTTCATTCAAGGATATGGTTTCAAGCCTGGTCAAGCGTAATCCACGAGAGCAACAAATCTGCTTAAACGTTCTGAACATGACCCTCCTTGAAAGTCATACACTTCCAAGTGTTGGAAGGTACCTTCTTGCCTTGGTCGAAGACAAGAATCTTGTTCTGAATCTTGTGACTCTAATTGAGCAGGGAAGTGAAGTTTTGAAGGGAAAGGCACTCATATTTGTGGCTCTACTTTGTATGAATGGGAAGAGGTGGCTGCCACTATTTTTTTGCAATGCTAAACTGCTCTCAACCGTTGATAGGTTGGTTAAGGAGAAGGATGACTTTGTGAAGCAGTGTTTAGATGCACTTGGGATGGTTGTCGCATCAACTGTACCAAGTTTGCTTGAGTGTATATCTGGGGACATTCAGCAACTGAAGGGTGGTAAACGCCGTGGGCAGATAATTAGTGTCACAAGTCGAAATTCTTCTAAGAACAGTATGCATTTATTTCCTGTTGTTCTCCATCTTCTTGGGTGCGCTTCACTGAAAAGAAGGGTTGCTAGTCATCAGGTTCTGCAACAGTTGGCAAATCTACTTAAACTGGTGGAGTCTCCTTTCCAGGTGATCTGATGATATCTTTATTACTTCTTCTAATTGTAAAATTCCACATATAAGACAAGGTTCTTACTTAGAAGAAAAGAAAAATCCAAATGTTCCAAAAGCCCACATAGAAGACATATAGCCCTTGTCCTAGATTTGGAACCTTCAATTTAATATGGTTCGTTTGCAAGACCTCCTAGTAATCGTCACCTGAGCCAAGTGTTAGCTACCAAGCTAATATAAGCTCCAAACTCTGGTAAAGAAGGGTGGGCGTAGGGGTGCATAAGATTAGGCTGATGATCTGTCAATGTGGACTGTGTATTTTGAACACTTAAGGGTCGTCTGGTAGGATGTATTACCCTTGGTATTATTTAATACCTTGTCTGGAAGTGTTTTCAATGTATGTATAGCTAATATATCTATAACTAATCCTATTTAGTATTATAGGGTGTATAACTAATACATAGCAACCCATGGTATTAGCAAAACCAGGGTTATTGATACTTGGTTAAAGACAGAACTACCTTGAAATACGTCAACCAAATCACGGATAAGAAATGATCCCAGCATTGCTAATAATACCCTATTCAGTACTATTCTTATACACCCTACCACACGGCTTAGGGATTTAGCTTAGTTTGCTCAAAATTTTGATCCATGATAAACTGAAGATGCATGCAGAAGATTGGGTTTCTTGTTGGTCTACGAAGCCCTTACACGATTCTTACTTTCGGTTGCAGGGTAGAGATGATTTTCAGATAACACTTTTACGTGTTCTTGAGTCTATAGCAGAGGAGATGTCTCTGGTTCAAGAAAGTTCTAGTATTTTTGTTAGCCAGATTCTACCTAGTTTATCTGTTGTTTACAAAGGGAATAAAGATGGAGATGCCAGATTCTTGTGCCTGAAGATTTTGTTTGATGTGATGGTCATTTTACTGGATGAAACATCTGAAAATGAACAGAAGCCGGAGAATTTGAAGTCCATATCTAATTCTTACTTCCTCCCTCTCTACCCCTCTTTGATTGAGGATGAGGACCCAATACCTGCGTATGCTCAGAAACTTCTTGTGATGCTCATTGAGTATAACCATATAAAAATTGCAGACATTGTCCACATGAAGATTATCTCCCAGTGCTTTGAATTTCTCCTTGGTGATTTCTCAACTGCAAATGTCAACAATGTACTGCTCTGCTTGGCTCTTACATCTGCTCCAGAGCTGGAAACCAAATCTCTCTCCCAACTAAAAGTTGTCAGAAAGATCGGAAGCCTTTTGGAATTTGTATATGCTAAGGAGATGGAAGATTTCATTGAACCTACGCTTCGTTTGTGTAGGGCTTTCCTTTTACGCTCAGTAGGCAGTGTGAGAGGCTCTAGGTTTGCAAAAGAACCTGTTCGTCTATTTGAAAATTCCTCTGATGGAGCTAGTGCCTTTGATCAAAATGAATGCATCAGAGATATTATGGACTTTGGTGAAAATGTTGGGGTCTTATTAGAACTCACCCATTTGAATGAGATTAATGTTGCAGATTTAGCTTCTGAATGCTTAATTTTATTGCTCAAGGCAGCTCCGAGGGAAGCTACCACTGGATTCCTGACAAATCTTCCCAAAGTCAGTCTCATCCTTGAGTCATGGAGACAAAGCACATCTCACTTGCTGTTGCAACGGATTCTGATTGCACTTGGTTATTCTTGTAGACAGTACCTGTCACATGCAATGATATTGTCAATAAGTTTGCCTGAGATATCAAAAATCGAAGGAATTGTTTCTCAGGTCAAAAGCTCCACAATACCATCTCTCGTTGATTCTGCTTCTCGTGCAGCATTGGAGCTTCAGAGACTGCCTCGTTGCATTTGAGTTTAGACAGGTTAGTTGTTTGCTTTGGTTGTATGCCACTTTCTTATCTTCCTTTTCCATCAGGAGTAATCACATCATAATAAACCTTGTTCATTGCTCGGATTATAACTTATTGAAACCTTAAACACTTGCTTTGCTCTGAGTGCAGCCAACAATGTGTTGAAGCATGTTATATCTCCCTTTAGGCACAGATACATAAACTGCAGCTCGGATCAAATGGATATTGTGAATGGGGAGATAACTGTGGTTGTCATCGACCTTTTGTATAAACCAATGTATGACTATCATCCTTAATATCTTCAATTGAGTGGTATTCTTTGTAATACTTCATGCAGATACCAGTAAATTTTTGTAATCAATGGCAAGCCATGATAGTTCAATTTATCATTTATGCCCTTTTCCAGGTTCTGCATCTTTCATTTTGAGGTAGAGACTTTTACCTTTTACATGCCCATCCTCTCCCTCCCACATTTTATACATAATTTACATTCAATTTAGTGGTATGTATAAGTTATGATAAAGTATGTGCAAAATCTGTATAAAAATTGTATTTTCAAACATTTGATCAGTTTGTTTCCTTGTCATGTTTCATCCAATATCGTACAACTTACATACAATTTGGTGGAGGGTTGAGCAAGACTGAATTGGAAATATTACACTCCCCTCTATTTCTAATGCCCTAAAACTTTGATTGGAGAATCAAAATTATAGTCAATGGTGTTTTCTCAACCTGGATTATGATAAGTCTTAATTGCGTCCTCAAACATAGATATTTAGAACTATTTACCTCCTAATTTATGAGAAGTATTAATTACCTCCTTTTACTATGTTTCAATTTATATGACTTATTTTTCTTTTCCAAATCTCAAAAGGAATGACAAATTTTTAGATTTAGTAAAAATTTAACATGATTTATAGTTATATAAATATTTATGACTTATTTTAGATTGTATCTTTTTTAGATTTTATGTCAAGTCAAACAACATTAAATTTGCGGAGGGTAAGTGAGTCATATAAAATGAATGGAGTAATTTTTTCCATCATGTGGCATATTAGAGGGTAAATAATTTCAAAATTCCATGTTTGAGGGGGTAATCAAGACATTTCACAATTGAGGTGTGAAGAGTTCCAAAAATTTATGACATTTCATAGTTTGGGGGGTGGGGGTGGTAAAGATTCCAAAAATCCATGTTTAAGGGGGTATTAAGACTTTTCATAGGTTAGGTGTGCATGCCAAGTTTAAGAGGCTTTTTAGCTATTAACTCAATAAATAAGGTTTGACATGAGGGATGGAGATCACAGATCTTGAAATACTCAAATGCACTTTAAAGAAGAAAATAAAAACCTGAGGTTTGAGAGTCCCAATGAGTTCAGATGATGATTTGATATTTAGTTGAATAGTTTGGACGAGTCTCGAGAGGCTCAGAAGCATTTCAAATACTTAAAATTGAAAATTAATGAATTTAATAAACAAGAATTGACGAGGATCAAATATGTGTCTATACGACCTGGATCTGTCAAGTTCCTAACCTTGGTGAGATCGATGGAAACTCGATGCCTTAACCTGACCTAAGGGTGGCAACAGGTTTGGGTTTGGTGGGTCGGAACGACTGGAATCAGGATGACTCTAGTCGGGTTTCCTCCGGGACTAGGATCAACCGGGTCGCGATACTCGGGATGAAATGGAAGTCCTCTCCTGTCACTTCTGAGCCAACACCCTAGATGTGACCGGCACTCGAGAACCATTGTTGGTCCTCAAGCGAACCATTAGCATGGCTAACTACTTAGCGAAAAACTAACTCAAGCAGAATCAAGCTTTAAACAGAATTAAACCTTTTAATCTCAAAGTACTCAAATGTCTCAAAATACTCCAAAAACAAGAATTGTTGAAATACAATTTAACAAAGGAATACATAAAATATATTCAAAACTAACTATATATCTATGAAGCCTTTGTTGTTCCAGATGTATGTTGGGACAAGATCCACGACACCTCAAAATAACTAACTAAAAGATAAAAGTAGAGTCCTCTAGAATGCAAGGAGGCTCACCAAAGCTAACTGGAAGTGCAAGTGATCTCAACGAAGCGCCTGTTGATGATCCTGAACACCTGTATATGCATTATAAAAAGATGCAGGTCGAATGATATCAGTACATTGAATGTATGAGTATGTAATATCGCGAAAGCAAAATACCTGAATGAAAGGACTACAATAGATATAAATATATACTCAACTGTAAGTAAAGAAATAAAAGAGTGAAAACATTTAAACTTTACAAATACTTACTCATCTCTGAACTCAACATATTAAGTGATAGGATAAAAATACACTTTTAGCTCTATTTGGGAGATTCTCTAACCGATAACCATCACTATGAGCAACGCGATGGTACAATGTCTCGCTCATGCTGCTAGAACTGTCCTATACCTTGCGGGGATATAGAACATCTCAACTAAGTGGATCTAAAGAGTCATCTAAAAAGTACGATCTTTTACCTATGTTGGCTACATGGTTTATGAGGAATGTGAGTTGTCTGAACTCATCCCCATATCAATGCTCAATACTACTCCCAATAAATATATACTCATGCTAAAATGTATAAAACATATTCTTTCTCAATTTTGAGGTAATTTCTCAAAATATCCTCTTTAAAGAGGTAATGCTCTGAAACATCTCTAAACTCGTTAACTCATTTAGAAATCAACATATCTTTTTTCTCAATGTAAAAAAATGATACATTTGGGAATACTTAGTTCCCTTATACTCTTACTCAAATCATGTTTAAATCTCTTTCTCAAAACTCATCTTTACTTTCTCCGAAAATCAGTTTAAGACAAAAATATTTACTTTAAAAGATTCTCAAAAATTATAACTCAAAATAGGGTTCATGCTGAAATATAAACATGAACACCTCAACTCAAAGATCTCAATAACAATATAGAAAACTCAATACTAAGAAATTAAAAACTCACAACTCAATGATACTACTCATATCAAGAATACTCAAAATTCATGATAAAATCCTAGATTACTCTTTTACTGAATTTAGATATATGTAGGGCGTGAGGACGAACTCAGTTCGCCACTATGATAGCCTTACATATGTAACATCTCGCACCTAGAAACGGTTATAAAGAGTTTAAAATATGAAAATATTGATTTTTGGAAAGAATAAGGAAATCTGAAAATTTTATCTAAAGTTAAGAAAGTGAGTTTTGTCCATTTTCAAACGGCCATAACTCCTAGCTCAGGAGGATTTAGGAGCAGCTCTTGATATGGTTGGAAATACCTTGGAGAGATCTTTCCATCGCCGCCGAGATTGCACGATTTTGACATCGTATGAGTGAGATATGCCTTTCGAAAGTTGGGCTATTGGATTGAGGAAAGTCCCAATCCGGATTTAGGGAAGGGCAAAGTAGTCTTTTCTCTAATTAATTTCCTAATTTGATTTTAGGGATTTATTGGGGTAAAAACATGACTTAGTCAGTTTAGAGAATTGAGAAATACGCTTAGGGCTTGGAGAAGAGAGAAAAGAAAAAGAAAGGGAGAAAAAGGCAAGAATTCGTCAAGATCATCCAAGCTTGCGAGTGGAATTCGTCGGGGGTGATCCCTATTAAGGTATGTGAGATCTTTTCGTGTTGGGTTAGTTCACCCACACACCAACTTGTTTCAATCCAATTGTTTTGAGTTGGTTACATGTTGAAGAAGTAAGGTTCTTGAAGAACAAATTGTAGAATTCTTGTTGGTTGAGTTGTTGATGCTTGGGGGGGTCAGTTGATTCATGTTTATGAGTTGTTTTTCGAGTTATATTGGTTGTATATTGAGGGTACAATTGATCCTAAGTGTTTGGGGAAGGAACTATGGAAGTTAGGGAGGTTTAGAGAGGAAGAACGGAAGAGAAAAGTCGGAAGTCGCTAGGCAAAAGGGTTGGGGCGCCGCGCCTGCCAGAGCGCCACAAAAACTTCTCTAAAGTTTGGCCTCTGGCGTGTCGCACCAAAAAGACTTCTCTGAAGTTTGAGGGCTGGCGCCCCGCGCCTCTCAGAGCGCCAAGGACGCCAATTCTCCCCATTCGTTCTCCACCGTTTCGTACTTGTTCCTAAGCGATGTACCTATGTTTTCTAGTTGTTTCCAACACTCTAAGGTACATCTAAACATCATGAAATCATCTGTAAACATGAGATCATGAACCTTGAATCCATAATCCAATTCAAGGAAAGTAAAGATCAAAGTCAAAGAAGTTAAGAGTCAAGTCTAGAAGTTAAGAAGCAAGTCAAAGCAAAGTTTCTTAAAGTTTTCAAGAGTCTTTAACAAACGTTTTAACTTCGTTTTTAGGCTCAAGTTTCAAGTTAAGCAAAGAGTAAAGAGTTGAGTTCATTTCTCAAAAAGCTATAAGGGGACTAAGTATTCCCAAAGAGTTTATAAATGTTTTAACATTTGGGTAAGAAAGGGAACATCGATTCCAAAAGAGCTTTTAAGCTAAGTTTTGAGTAATTATCTCAATCCAAAGAAAGAGTTTTGTTTTCACAAACATATGAGCTAAGTATATTTTGGGAGTAGTATTGAGCACCGATATGGGGATGCGAGTTCATATTAACTCAAGTCTCTATAAACCATGTAGCCATCATGGGTAGTAAATGATCATACTTTTTAGATGACTCCTTAAGATGCTTTTAGCATAGACTAGTGGATCCACTAAGTTAAGTGTTCTATATGACGGCAAAGTATAGGACAGTTCTGGCAGCGTGGGCAAGACGCTGTATCACCACTTAGGCTCATAGTGGTGGTTGTCGGTTAGAGAATCTCTCACAAAAGTTATATCACTTTTATAATTAAGTAAAGTTGAGTTTGTTATTGCTTTATCTTTAACGAACTAAGTTGTTTACACTGTTTTACAAGCCTTACATATATTGCATGTGTCTTATTGCTTTATATTGAGTTCAGTTGTTCATGAGTTAAACAGAGCCAAGGTAAGTGTTCCTTTGTATTCCTTTCAAGCTTAAGT